AGACTTTTATTGATAATTAATTTGGGTACTATTCACTTACTGCAAGTGTTTCCAAGCACTAAAATTCATTCTTTAAAACTTCAATCAAGCCTCCATTTTCTAAACACCCTATTCAATATTAAAATTAAATTAAAATCCTTTACCCCAGTTTGATAAATTCTCTTCTAGTATTGACAACACCAAAATTAACTAAATTTTCAAATCATTATAATTTATGCTTCAATTCCTCCAATCCTCTAATGCTTTATATGTCTATCTTCTATTTTATTTCACTTTGATTATATTTTTTAACTTGTCCTTTTGACTCTTCTATAATGCAAAGCTTTAATCAAGAGTATTTGTGTGTGGTGTGTGTATAGATATCTACACAACATACAATGTAATCCATCCAACATGAAAGAAAATCTCATCATGTCACCCCCCAAAAATAGAGGGTGACCGGCATGGGTATGAACCACTCTCACATTCCCGTAAGTCTCCAAGTGAATATTTATTCCATTTTCAAGAAAAGAACAAAATTCAATTGAATCACATGAGAATTAAAATAACTTCTTTAAATTCATTATCATAAGAAAGTGTTGACATTTTTGTAAAAATTTCAGCAGAACCTCCTCTGTAACTAGGATCTCCTGAAAATTCTACAACAAAATTTTTTACAAATAACAACATAAATTAGGAGCATAACTCCTTCCAGCCAGCAAACAATATACAGACCAAAAATAAGATTCATCAACAACTTATGTGGAGCATATACTCTTTCTTTTCAAATCAAAAAGACATACATATCATATATTTAAATTAAAGCAACAGTACCAATCAAAAAGATCCACCCACTGTAGCTAGTTGTCCTTTTTGAGGCCGTTGGTGGAATCGACGTCAGCTAACCAATCTGAGGCCAAATAATTTTTTTTTCTAGTGAATAGCATTCCCATGATAAAATTTTTAAAATTTAAATTGACAATCTCTAATAATGGTGTCAAGAAAATTGAAAGTAATTCCACCAAAATTTATAAGCATGTAAGTCATAATCATATTTGCAAAATAAGAATAAATTGAAAATAATTTATGTTATCATGCTTAAAGAAAATGATCTGCTCTCATATAACTCAAAGCGATACAAATTACTAGTTAAAATCAAGTAAATTTTGTAAACACATAATAATCAACATTTAAAAAATTTGAGAACTCAACAGAACAGGTTATAAACATGGATACTCAGTCCACGAGGGAAAATAACCAAACGCGGCATATGCCATGAAAATAAACATGGACACACCAGTCCACGAGGGTAAGTAACCGAATGTAGCCATAGCTACGAAACAAACATGAACACACAGTCCACGAGGGTAAGTGACCAAATGCGGCTCAGGCCACGAAATCAAACACTGGTACGAAGCCCACAAATACCAAATGTGAGAATAAAACTGACAAACCAAACTAGCTAGTATTTAACCACAGCGCGCTACAGACTAACAGAACTGCCATTAGTAGCAGCGTTCTGTATAAAGTTCTCTTAGAAATCTCGTTTCAAACATGCGAGAGAAATAATTATTTGTGAAGTCAAATTTTCATTCTTAAGATCAAGCTCGCATGAATTACTTCTAATATATGAAACTTGTCAAATCGATACACCATAACAAATGTACAACTTGCGCTAATAATGTAATCAAGAATTTTGAAATTCAATAGGCAAAGGTGCCTTTATCAATATAAAAAATATATTTCTTGAGAAAATGCATGAATCATAATATGACTATTGTTTATCATTATTTCAAAATTTCTATAGCTAACATAATTCATAAAAATGAAATATTTTAATAAAAGATTTTCAATGAATACTCATAAGGAATGCTATTCACTTACTTGTTGAAGTTCTAAATTCCCGAAAGTATTCTTCTTTTAAGTCTTTTCAGGGTCTTGTTCTTCCACACATCCTATAAAATACAAATATATACAATTTTAATAACTTTTTAATTTATAACACACCCTTCACTAACCACCATTAAAGTTAATTCAAGCATTATCATTCATTTCTCTTTCTTTATAAAACTTTAACCATGTCATACTATTTCCTTGGAATAGGAGTTTTCTCCTAATCTTTGCATCACTTACCTTAGGTGCATTACTTCTACCTCTTCAATTTTAAGCCTTTAACCATTTACCAAAAATCAAACAAACTCTAAATATACACATGATTGTGTGCAAGCCCATAATTAAATTCCTTTACAAAGCTGCAAGAGAATTCCTAAACCAATAATTTCCATCAATATTTAGAAGTCAAATTTTATTTCCTCATACAAGGCCTTCAATGACATCTCATAGGTACCAACAATATATCTAAGCTCGTCTCTTTTGATTTCAGTCTAGATTTTTTTTTCTTCGGTCATGGCAGCAATATAAAGCACACACACAGATTCCTAGTTTCCATGATACCACCCAGCTACTCACACGCCCATATTTATGAGGAAAATGGAAGAGATTGAAGCTTCTAACCTTAAATGAATCAACACGCACAGACAGAGTAAGGAGGACAATGATGAACAGTGAAGAAAAAGGTTTGAATCAGCAACAAAAGGTGGATGAACAGCAACGTCTACGGCAACCTACGTGAATGATGGTGCTTCCCAGATCTCTTTCTCAGCTCAGTTATGCTAGACAGTGGCGGATGGATAGAAGGAAGAAAAGAAAATTCATGAACACTGAACAGGGGAAATAGATTTTAGTAACAGACCTCCAATGAGCACCCTAAATCTTGCGTACTTCCCTTCCCACTAACAGACTCACACAATGGTATATGGTGAGCTAGAAGCAGGGAAGAATGAAGAGGTTTCGGTCGACATTCAGTAGTAAGAAAACAAGCTTCAACTCCTACCAGCTGTGGATAAACCGATGATAATTTCTCACACCGGCGATGATCGACTCACACGAACAGCGGCGCGACTAGTGGTTGAGATGAGAGAAGGCAGAGATTGGCGGTGACAGAGCAATGATTCAATCTAATCTCTCAACTCTCCCTTTACTCCAGAATAATCAAGAAAGAAGGAAGAAGGAGTTAAAAAAAATCTGATGGGTTTAAGGGCAATTCGGTAAATTTGCATAGCCAGAAAAAGAAAAAATTTAACTCTTCTGGATTCGAACTAGGGACCTAATGTATGAAGACTTGCTCAACTGCCACTAGACCAAGTCTCTAACTTGTTACATTATCCTAAAAACTAATATAAACACACTTTAAGCAAGTTAACCTATATAATTATTTATTTATTTTAAACTTAGTCATGGTTATTACATTCTTCCCCCTTAAGAAATTCAGTCCTTCAAATTTTTAAATTCATGCTTACCTTAATCCTCGAATAAGTGTGGATACTTAGCATGCATATCAGTTTCAATTTCCCATGTAGCTTCCTCTTGAGTATGATTACGCCATAGCACTTTTACTAAAGTGATTTCTTTTGATCATAACTTCTTAACTTGTCGATCCAAGATAGCCACTGGAACTTCTTCATAAGATAAATCTTAGGATATTTGAATCCCCTAAGTTTCAATTACATGAGAAGGGTCATATAAGTATTTCCGTAGCATTAATATATGAAACACCGGATGAATACCCGACAGTTCAGGCGATAACGCCAAACGATAAGCAACTGCACCAATTCTTTCTAAAATCTCAAATAGACCCATATACCTTGGGCTCAGTTTACCTTTCTTTCCAAACCTCATTACCCCTTTCATAGGAGATACTTTAAGGAATACTTTATCCTCGGCCATGAATTCTAATTCCCGACGTCGATTATCAACATAAGACTTCTGTCGACTTTGAGCTGTTATTAATCTTTCTCTAATTATTTTCACTTTCTCAATAGCATCTTGCACCAAATTTGGTCCCAAAAGCTTAGTATCGCCAATATCAAACTATCCAATAGGAGACCTATATTATCTGCCATAAAGTGCTTCATATGGGGCCATTTGTATGCTAGATTGATAACTATTGTTAAGCATACTCTATCAAAGCTAAGTAACCGTCTAACTACCACCAAAGTCCAAAATACAAGATCTTAACATATCTTCAAGTATCTGAATGGTTCTCTCTCAGACTGGCCATTGGTTTGCGGGTGAAAAGCAGTACTGAGATCCAATCGAGTACCCAAAGCTTTTTAGAAAGATCTCTAAAATTGAGAAGTAAATTGAGGACCTCTATCAGAAATTATAGATATTGAAATCCCATGTAGTCGCACAATCTCATCAATATACAATTGAGCATACTTATCAACATTATATGTTGTCTTCACTGGAATGAAATGAGCTGATTTCATCAGTCTATCAATAATAATCCAGATAGAATCATACCCCTTAGCAGTGCGAGGTAACCCAGTGACAAAGTCCATTGTGATATTTTCCCATTTCCACTCTGGTATTTCTAACCTTTGGTGTAGCCCAGCTGGCTTTTAGTGTTCTCCTTAACTTGCTAGCATGTCAAATAATATGAGACAAAGTCTGCCACATCCTTTTTCATGCCATCCTACCAATACAGTTGTTTCAAATCTTGATACATTTTAGTTGCTCCTAGATACACGGTATATGCAGAATGATGAGCCTCTTCCATGATAAATCGCTTCAAGTTTTCCTCTTATGGTACGCAAATTCTACCCTTGCACTTTAATATTCCTTCTTGGTCAATTTCAAACTCAATGTTACTCCCAGCTATGACTGCTTCTTTTAACTTGCATAATTTTGGATCTGAGAATTGAGTGCTCTTAATTTGATCCATTAAAGAAGAACGAGCTTGTACATGAGCCAAAAATGGTCCCTTATCAATAATCTCAAACTTGACTCCACTATGCTCAAGTTTATGAATTTCTTACACCAAAGGCCTCCTTGTCAAAGTCATGTACGCCAAGCTACCCATCGATTTTCTACTTAAAGCATCAGCTATCACATTTGCTTTACCAGGATGGTAAAGAATTGTACAATCATAATCTTTAAGTAACTCCATCCACCTCCTTTATCTTAGATTAAGCTCCTTCTATTCAAAAATGTACTTTAGAATCTTATGATCAGTATAAATCTCACAAGTCTCACCATAAAGATAGTGGCGCCAAATTTTTAGAGCAAAAACAACTGCTGCCATCTCTAGGTCAGGGGTTGGGTAGTTTTGCTAGTGTTTCTTAAGTTTCCTTGAAGCAGAAGCAATAACTCGTCCATGCTGCATTAGAACACATCCTAGATCCACACGAGAAGCATCGCAATAAACTGCATACCCTCCATTGCCTGAGGGTAAACTCAAAACTGGTGTCGAAGTCAAACACTCCTTTAACTTTTGAAAACTGTATTCACACTTGTCATTCCATTCAAACTTGACATTCTTCTGAGTCAACCTTATCAGTGGAGCAGCTATTTTAGAGAAATCTTGGACAAAATGACGATAATATCCTGCAAGACCTAAGAAACTGTGAATTTCTGTAATAGTTGTCGGTCTTGGCCAATTTTGCACTGCTTCTACTTTTCTTGGATCCACTTGAATACCATCTTTAGAAACCACATGTCCTAAGAAGGTAACTTTATCAAGCCAAAATTCACATTTAGAGAACTTGGCATAAAGTTGTTGCTCTCTCATTGTCTGTAAAATAATTCGAAAATGATGTTCATGCTCCTCTAGGCTCTTTGAGTATATCAAATATCATCAATAAAAACAATCACAAACTTATCAAGAAACGGTCTAAACACCCGATTCATTAGATCCATAAAAGATGCCGGTGCATTAGTTAACCCAAATGACATTACTAGGAATTCATAATGACCATATCGGGTTCTAAATGTAGTCTTAGGTATGTCCTCTTTCTAATCTTTAACTGATGATAACCCGAACGCACGCCTATTTTGGAAAAACATTGAGCTCCTTGGAACTGATCAAAAAGATCATCTATTCGAGGCAATGGGTATTTTTTTTTCACCATCACTTTATTAAGCTGCCAATAATTGATGCAAAGTCTTAATGACCCATCTTTTTTCTTCACGAAAAGTACTGGTACTCCCCAAGGAGATGTGCTAGGTCGGATGAATCCCTTATCTAACAGTTCTTGCAATTAAGTCTTTAGTTCTCTCAACTCAGAAGGTGCCATTCTGTGAGGCAGAATAGAAATTGGTTGAGTATCTGGAACTAAGTCAATGGCAAATTCAATCTCTCGGTCAGGTGGCAGTCCAGGTAACTCTTCTGGAAAAACATCATGAAATTCTCGAACAATAGGGATTTGATCCAAACTAACGATGTATTTATCAATTTCCCTTACCATCGCTAAAAACCCTTGACAACCTTTCTATAGTAATCGTTGGGCTTTTAAAGCCGAAATAAGATTAGTAGGTCTTTTTATAAAACTCCCTTGCAACATAAAAGGAGTTTCACCTGGAATATCAAATTTTACTACTTTCAAGTGACAGCCAACGGTAGCATAGCAGGAAGTTAACCAGTCCATGCCTAAAATGACATCAAAATCAATCATATCAAGCATTATCAAATCAACAAGGGTTTCTCTTACCCTCAAGAGACACTTCACAAGACTTGTACACATAAGAAATAATTAAAGATTCCCCTACTGGAGTACCAACTACAAATGAATTATCAAGTTTGATAGGTTCTTTGCCTAACCTCTTAGCAAAATAAGCAGATACATATGAATGAGTTAATCCAGGATCAAATAATACATAAGCTTAATTGGAACACACAATTATAATACCTGTAACAATAGCATTTGAGGCTTTAGCATCCTATCTTGTCATGGCATAAACTCTCACCTGTCTCTGCCCTAAGGAAGATTGTCCCCGTTGACCGTTTCCCCTTCTAGATTTACCCCTACTAGCTGAAGTAGAAGCAGTTCTAGCAGGTGGATTGGCGAGGAAGTAGGGCGAGAGAAGGTTGGATTGATCTGTGGCTTGACACAGACTGTAGATATGGATAATTTCTTCTCAAATGGCCCATTTGCCCATACTTGAAACATGCACCAGACACTCTATAGCACAGTCCTGAATGATATTTCCTACAACTATTACAAAGGACTCTAACATAACCTGATTGATTTAGAACTGACTGGGCTTGAGGTCTCGTATTACCAGAATTTAGTCTCACAACAGGAGTGCTCACTGATGGTGAACCAAATGATCTAGGATTAGGCTGTGAGGTATGAAAGTGAGATTGACTTGAAAATTGATGACTTTTGGAAGAAGAACTAAGAAATTTCTCATCGTGCTCCCTCTTGCGTTTCTTAGAAATTACTTCTTCTGCCTTATGTCGATTCTTGATTCTCAGTACACTATCAACAATCTCAATATAGGTGATATCACGACCCAACATAGGTGCTATATTATCATGTATATCTACTGATAATCCATGCACAAACCTGTTAATTTATTCCCTTTCAGTCGGGATGATATGTGAGGTAAAAAAAGATAATTCAGTAAACTTCTGATCATACTCTGCTATTGACATTCCTTTATTGCACTTTAAAGTCAGAAACTCTTTAACTTTTGCCTCTCTAGTACTCTGAGGCAAATAACGATTCAAAAATATAGTCTTGAACTCTTCCCAAGAAGGTACTCTAGTCGCATGCAAACTTGGGACTGTTTTTGCCCAAGTACTTGCCAGTCCCTGAAGTTGAAACACTGCAAATTCGACATACTGAACATCAGGGCATCTCAAGGCCCTACATCTCTTCTCTCTTCCTTTAAGAAACTCAATCGGGTCCTCCCGTTCATTGGTTCCTGAAAAAGATGGTGGATTTAACTTCATAAACTCTGATAACTTAACTGCGGGATTCTCCTTTGTTGTATCATGTGTTGAAGGAACGGTCTGCTCCTTAGATTGAGGACTTACTTGTTCGCTTCTAAAAAGAATATCTTGTAGGTGCCTAAGGGTTCGACCACCCCTAGCCCTAATCCTACTCTGATGCCGTCCTCTACCTCTTAAGGGCATATCATCTATCGAAAAAATTCTACCAGAGGCTCTACTGCTAGTGGAGCTCCTGGTAGATACTCGACATCTGGGTGGCATATTTCACTATATAAAGAAACAAAAGAAATATTTAATTCAAAATACAATTCCTTTATATAACAAAAAGTTAATAACAAAAACAAACGTCGTTCAAAAACTTCTTATAGAACTCCTAATGATGCCTCAATTATAATTATGCCCGAGTTCATAATGATAATTGAAACCTCACCGGCAAGTTCTTGCTCCACATAGTTATATATGTAAAAATCTTGGCTCTGATACCAAAAACTGTCACGCCCCAAAAATAGAGAGTGACCAGCACGGGTGTGAACCACTCTCATATTCCCGTAAGCCTCCAAGTGAATATTTATTCCATTTTCAAGAAAAGAACAAAATTCAATCGAATCACGTGAGAATTAAAATAACTTCTTTAAATTCATTATCATAAGAAAGTGTCGACATTTTTTATAAAAATTTTGGCGAACCTGCCCTGTAACTAGGATCTCCCGAAAATTTTACAACAAAAATTTTTACAAATAACAACATAAATCAGGAGCCTAGCTCCTTCCAGCTAACAAACAATATACAGTCCAAAAATAAGATTCATCAACAACCTATGTGGAGCATCTACTCTTTCTTTTCAAATCAAAAAGACATACATATCATATATTTAAATTAAAGCAACAGTACCAAATCAAAATGATCCACCCACTGTAGCTAGTTGCCCTTTTTGAGGTCGTTGGTGGAATCGGCGTCAGCTAACCAATCTAAGGCCAAATAATTTTTTTTTTTCCAGTGAATAGCATTCCCATGATAAAATTTTTAAAATTTAAATTGACAATCTCTAATAATGGTGTCAAGAAAATTGAAAGTAATTCTACCAAAATTTATAAGCATGTAAGTCATAATCATATTTGTAAAATAAGAATAAATTGAAAACAATTTATGTTATCATGCTTAAAGAAAACGATCTGCTCTCATATAACTCAAAGTGATACAAATTACTAGTTAAAATCAAGTATATTTGAAAACACATAATAATCAACATTTAAAATTTGAGAACTCAATAAAACAAGTTACAAACATGGACACTCAGTCTACGAGGGCAAATAACTAAATGCGGCTTATGCCACAAAAACAAACTTGGACACACCAGTCCATGAGGGTAAGTAACCAACGTAGTTGTAGCTACGAAACAAACATGGACACACAGTCCACGAGGGTAAGTGACCAAACGCGGCTCAGCCACGGAATCAAATGTGAGAATAAAACTCACGAAGCAAACTAGCTAGTGTTTAACCACAGCGCGCTACGAACTAACGGAACTACTATTAGTAGCAGTATTCTGTAAAGAGTTCTCTTAGAAATCCTATTTCAAACATGCGAGAAAAATAATTATTTGTGAAGTCAAATTTTCATTCTCAAGATCAAACTTGCATGAACTACTTCAAATATATGAAACTTGTCAAATCGATACACCACAACGAATATACAACTTGCGCTAATCATGTAATCAAGAAATTTTGAAATTCAATAGGCAAAGTTATCAATATTAAAAATATATTTCTTGAGAAAATGCACGAATCATAATATGACTATTGTTTATCATTATTTCAAAATTTTCTAAAGCTAACATAATTCATAAAAATGGAAATATTTAATAAAAGATTTCAATGAATACTCATAAGGAATGCAATTCACTTACCTGTTGAAGTTCTAAATTCCCGAAAGTATTCTTCTTTCAAGTCTTTTTAGGGTCTTGTTCTTCCCACACCCTATAAAATACAAATATATACAATTTTAATAACTTTTTAATTTATAAACACACCCTTCACTAACCACCATTAAAATTTCAAAATCAAATTTATGATTTAAAGTTAATTTAAGCATTATCATTCATTTCTCTTACTTTCTTCATAAAACTTTAACCATGCCATACTATTTCCTTAGAATAGGAGTTTTCTCCCAATCTTTGCATCACTTACTTTAGATGCATTACTTCTACCTCTTCAATTTTAAGCCTTTAACCATTCACCAAAAATGAAACAAACTCTAAATATACACATGATTGTGTGCAAGCCCATAATTAAATTCCTTTACAAAGCTGCAAGAGAATTCCTAAACCAATAATTCCCATCAATATTTAGAAGTTAAATTTTATTTCCTCATACAAGGCCTTCAATGACATCTCATAGGTGCCAACAATATATCCAAGCTTGTCTCTTTCGATTTCAGTCTAGATTTTTTTTTCTTCGGTCATGGCAGCAATATAAAGCACACACACAGATTCCTAGTTTCCATGATACCACCCAGCTACTCACACGCCCATATTTATGAGGAAAAAGGAAGAGATTGAAGCTTCTAACCTTAAATGAATCAACACGCATGGATAGAGGAAGGAGGACGATGATGAACAGTGAAGAAAAAGTTTTGAATCAGCGACAAGGGTGGATGAACAGCAGCGTCTATGGCAATCCACGTGAACGATGGTGCTTCCCAGATCTCTTTCTCAGCTCAGTTACGCTGGACAGTGGCGGATGGACAGAAGGAAGAAATGAAAATTCATGAACGCTGAATAGGGGAAATAGATTTTAGTAACAGACCTCCAACGAGCACTCTGAATCTTGCGTACTTCCCTTCCCACTAACAGACTCACAC